TTCAAGGCACTGGGGATATGAATTAATTCCACAAAATAGGCTATAATCTCTAGGGGTTTACATTCTGAGGGTAGCGGAGTAAAAACTGAAAGTGGCAATAAAGTTAATTTTAGATAGCATTGGGTGCTATGAAAACAGTACAATAGGTAACATGGGAGAGAGTTGCTAGAATAGTCAGAATGGGAGAGAGAGCTTTTCCATGGCACTGATGACTGAATAACAAGCAACACACTTGGGTATTTCAGGGGAAGAGCTTTATAGGTGGAGGCAACAGGAAGTTCCAAGGCCGTGTGGTAGTATTACATTTGGTGAGTTCAGAAAGTAGAAATAGTGGATGGTGTGTATAGAAAGGGAGAACAGCAGGAGATAAAATCCATGTCATGGGATGAGGCCATATTACTGTGTAGGGCACAAAAGTCAGAGGCTGTGATAAGGATTACGGTTTGATTCTAATGGGGAGTCATTGAAGGGTCTTAAAGAAAGAAAAGTGATGTAATCTGATGTACATCTTTAAAGATAATTCAGCAGATGGGTGGAAAATGGAGTGGAACAAACCAATCTCATCATATTATAATCATTCGCATTATTGGATTTAAAAATAACTCAGTGGAACCTCCACCCCAATCATCTTCAGCTGCAAAGCACAATTCTTGGTCCCCACAGAGAGGCTCAAGAGAAGGCGAAGCAGACCTTCAAGATAATTCCGAGAGAAATGCTGATTTGAATGTGCACATTCCGGCACAAGATTCTTTTTAAAGTACTCCTATTTTAGCCTCACCTACATCTTAACCCCCACAGTGCAGACAGTCTCAACTCTATGCCTCTCTGTGCGGCTCAACCTTGGCTGTATATTAGAATCACCCAGGGAGACTTCAAAGATCAATAGCCAGGCTGTGCTGCTCATCCATTAAATCAGATTCTCAGGGGTGGGTCCCAGACCTCACTGCATCTTAAAGCCTCACTATGTGACTCCCATGGACAGCTAATGCAGCCACTGACTCACAAAATCAGGCATTTCAGAGCTTCCGATGGTGATGACAGGCAGCATGCGACTGCAGGAAATGTGCACTCCTGCTGCTGTGTCCCTGGAGGGCCCGGGAAACAGGCAGTGGCGAGCTCCTGAATGATGGGTGCATTTTGAAGCTGGAACTCAGCAGCTCACGCGGGAGGCCCTGCTGCAGTCAGCAGCACGTTGCTGTGTAGCAGGGTGCCCAGATTTGCAAATGAAACTGGAGGACATACTGCCTCTTTAGAAGGAACTCTGGGGACCTTAACAAACACTATTTAAAAAAAAAAATGAAACAAAGGGTGATTTCATCCAAATAGGATGCCTGTGCATCTAGCACCATAAAGATAGATGCCACCTCTGCTCTGAAGTGCCTGACATCCTACAGAGCTCAGAATGTAAAAGCTAACACATCTTGTCAAGCTCTAAAATAAGAGAGGCAGCTTTCCCACTTTCCTATTTAGTTTTTCTACATTTGTTATGCTTAGCTGCTGAGTTAAAACAGAAAAAAGAGAGAAGATAGTAAAATAAGCCCTAACAAGGTGAGGGGTGGCATTTTAGTAAAGTGATATAACCCAATCAAGAACATCGTCATGCTTTTCGGGGGTGGTGTTTGGTTTTGGTTTGCTTTCTGATGACAAGGAGAATGTCACAGGAAAAGCAATGCTATGAAATCCTGAAACACTTTTTAGCAACCTTTGTCACACACTTTTGCACTTCACACTTGATCTTAGCCAAAAGGCTGAGAAGCGATACACTTTTGCACTTAATTACATCTGCTTTATATGATTTGTTACTATTTTAGATGCATTAATATTGTCTCATAAAGTATATTTCTTGAACATACACTCTTTCCTAATTTTATCATCACCTGTTCACAGTTACGCGTTGCCTACTAATCATAGATTTCATACTGAATTGCTTTGGTAATACTTATATTCTGTTTTCATGTTAACTAATTCCTCCTTCCCCTAACACTCCCAACCCTGGGTGTGTGTGTGTGTGTGCATGTGTGTCTCCAAAGGAAATACAAGGCCCTGTATACTACCCCTAGTAACTGTAGAATTTCAATGCAGGTTGTCAGGAGCCTTGGTAAACAAGGCACGGCTCTTAGGGTGCGGCTACATAAAATGCTAGAACAGCTTAGATTAAGGTTCTCTGTGAAAAATCCCAAGCACCTGCAAGTAGGGGAACTGACCCTCTGTCAGGGGAAGCTTAGTGAATCAGTACCCTCATCCTGATGAACTGTAAGATTGCTGGAAAAGATGTTAGAGAAGTCAAGGATGAATTCTCCCACCCAGCCTGATCTAGACCCAAGAGCTGGAGAAAATGCAACCTTCGGGTAGGCAAGGCGACTCCAGAAGGCAAAAACTGTTGTAATACTCAGCATGCTCAGGGAGGGGCGCGACAGCGGCAGGCATCATTAGCTACACCAGTGAAGAGATCCTTCAAAACTCTTGAGAGACAGCGCTGTAGTGACATGGGGGTGTTGCTGCCAGCAATGTCTTTACATGGAACCTCCCTACACACACGCACACACACACACACACACACCAGGGCCTACTAAGAAGGAATGGGATCACAAAATTATGTCCTTCCTGATTACACACACATTTATGGAATAAAAAAACAAAATTTATCCTTGATAGTGAGACTCACTAAGCCTAAAAGCCTTGAATCCTGCTTGGAGTTTGGCCATCTGTAAGCCTCCATGTTCCACTACCACTGTAGTCTAAGAAATAAAAAATCATTTGGGGCCGGTGTTGTGGCATAAGTTAAGCCTCCACCTGCAGTGCCAGCCTCTCATATGGGCACCAGTTTGAATCCCAGCTGCTCTACTTTCCATCCAACTCTCTGCTCATGCACCTAGGAAAGCAGCAGAAGATGGCCCAAGTGCTTGGTCCCCTGCACCCACATGGGAGACCCGGAAGAGGCTCATGGCTTCAGCTTGGCCCAGCTCCAACCATTGTGGCCATTTGGGGAGTGAACCAAGGGATGGAAGATGGATATCTCTCTCTCTCTCTCTCTCTCAATCTCTCAATCTCTCTCTCTCTCTACCCTTCCCCTTAAAATAAACAAATCTTTAAAAAACAAAGAAATAAGAATCACAGTCACTATCCTGAGTAGAAATTAAAGAAAGAGAATTTAAAGAAGTGAGAATTTCATGTCTCAAGAGTGATGGTGCTCCCAAGAAAGATTCTCAAAAGATGCTATTCCTTTGAGGTAAAAACATCCAGAAACCTATTTTCTAGTTTTTCTTTTAATAGAGAAATATACAGTACACTAATGCTACCTACAATCACCCCTACTCTGCAATAGAACCTCAGAACTTCTGACTTCTATGTAGCTACAATCAAGTACCATAAAGAAATGCTTGATGTTTGAAAAGATAAATATATTTAACCTGATTGGGCATTACACAATGTATACATGCACCAAGACATCGCATGGTATCCCACAAATATGTTCAATTTTGATTTGTCTGTTAAAATTTTTAAAGTAAAAACATTAAGTAAATGTTCTCTGGTTAAACCGACTATCAAAATTGTTGAAGGGACTTGACAGCAATGCTGAATTTCTGGGTCTATTCTGTGACCATCAAGCCCTCCAAAGTTGAAGAGGACAGGGCTTGGAGTCCTTATTCATAAAACGTTTTCAATGATGTTGTTTGGAAACCACTAATTTACATTTATCACAAAATAACTTTTCCCAACCACTTAGCAGACACTTGCTCTTGACAGATTTATAGCTAATAATAAAGTCATTATTCTCCTTCCTCTTAGAAGGTCTTGGTACCATTGTCAGGAAAAACAGAGGCTAATAATTAATCATTTCTAACTGTGCTGCAGAGCAGAGCTCCTTAGTGAAGGAGAGAGAGCTGATGGTTGCTTTCCTCTCAGCTGGATTTGCCATCATGGATCCCACACTCACTACATCTGAGATCCTGATTAGTATAAAAACAGATCTACGCTTGTCTCATACAGGGAAAAACCTACTCTTTCAGTTACTTCTAAAGGATTTTTCCCTCAAACACTCTCTGTATGGAATAAAACTCCTTTGAAATCTACCAGGAGGTCTGCAGACTTTGTGACAGGGATCTCAACCTCTGTGAACCTCCTAGAAACAGAAATTGGGCTTGAGACTGGTGTAACAGGTATGGCTTGGTGGTAAGATGTCCAGAAAAACAAAATAAATTTGAAAAGGTGTGGTCTGTAACACATCATGTGATTCGGTAAGTGTGGAATACATGACAATTGGTGGAGGCCTAGATTGGCCTCATTCCTCTCCCCTTAGGAGTGCGCTGTTACAGCACTTCAAAGTGCCCCTTCCTCTACTAGGCTGTGAACTTGTTGAGCACGGGGAACGTGTAGTAGTCTTCATACTCCTAGTCTTTAACAGGTTCTTGGCACAAAGTCAATATATGTGCAATGAACAAATGAACCAACAGTGGACTTGTTGGATGCTATTTCAGATGTTCTATGAGTTAGTAAAATGTCAAAAATACCAAAAGTGGGTCCCCAAAATATCTTGAGCAGTCCCTAGGATAAAATGTCTGGAACTTATCCATAAGACTTTATGAAGTTGTGGAGAGTTCTTGTTGTTTTGTTTCATTTTTTAGTCATGATGCACTTTGTATGGAGCATTTATGAAATTGTACCACAGCTTCTCCTTTGCAGGCATATTTCCTGTATTTATGTTCTGCTGATGATCTCTCCACACTGCATTTACAAGGTTGGGGTAAAAGGATGTACCCTGTGAGTGTCTGTGACTGGTTCTGTTAATAATTGTTTTCCTTTTCTCATTATAGTTTGACATTTTAGAAGCCAAATGCTGTTCCACACTCTATTAGCCTCTTGCACTGGACTGAGACTGAGGTCTAGAACAAAGATAAAGTAAAAATGGAAAAACATGGAAGACTGAGATGGCACAACTAGAATAATAACTTTAGTTCATTCACCTGCTGACGTCTGGAAATTGAAGGGCATTCACTTACCTAGTGAGCTCAAAAGAATGGTGCAAAGAGCCAGCGATAGAGCAGCGTGCCCCAGCTATGTCCAGGACTGGCCGGTTTTCCTTCCTCACAACTCTTGGCAGTAACCAGTGTGTCAGTCAGATATTGTTGCATAATAAACCACCACCACGTTACAGTAACATACAGCATCGAGTAACATACAGCATCAGGTGTATGTTTCAGTAACATACAGTATCAAGGTGCTAATTTCACTCACTTGTGGCTGATAAAGGCTGGGGTTAGCTGAGCAGCTCAAAGCTGCTGATTGGCTCTAGATCTGCCCCAGCTGTTTCATCCTGTGAAAACTAAACCCTACCTCAGAGGGGAAGCTGTATTCATGGCGGTGTGAGAGGAACGAGAGAACGCACAGGGTCAGACATGCCTGGGCCGCATGGCCAAACCCCAAATCAAGCTACGGTGAAGTATATTCTTTCCATGTTCATGGCAGAGGAGGAAATAAACATTTTTGAATGATAAACACCCACAGGCAGAGCCCTAGTCAGACGTCTTTCAAAAATAACAAACAGTTGTGCTCAGGAAGTCGAGGGGGGACAATTCTGATATTTCTGAGTACCTGGTCACTTTACTCTCATATTGCTGACAAGACAGTGAATCAATACCATCTTCTAGGGGATATTTGCAACATAAAGTCATATTATCAGTCATACAAGATTATTGTGAGGAGCAAATGAATGTGTGAGGAAACAAAAACTATCCCAGAGGGTAGGATTTCATTACGAACATTCTCATGAGACGTACTTTCCTTCATTCCCTTTATCTACGAAAATCCGATTCCTGAGAACAACAGAAATGTGTGAAACTTAAAATCATGCAAGTTTTTCTTCTTAATCCTGGATTTTGACCTCTCATCCAAATATTTCACACTCTTCTGGGCAGGAGAATTACAGCATTACATGAACAAAATAAACAAATATGCCACTCAATTCCTCTCTCCTGCTCCTTTTCCCATTAGGCACCTGGCCAGTTGGATTAGGGAGGGATTGTGCTGACAGGCCTTCAAGGTTAGGACGGTTCCCCTCCACCCCCTCAGTAGGTTATATTTTGCAAAATATAGCTAAACCAGAGAATTGTGTTGCTCTAGGCAGAAATGAGAATGTACTTTGTGTAAACACAATTAAAAAGTAAGAAGAATGGGAGATGCAAACAGAAAAAAAGCCATAGTCTGCAAAAGCATTGTATGGGAATTTCATTGCATATGTTTTCTGAAAAGACTAGAAATAACAGCATACATGCATAATCATGAGGCGCCATTTAAACTCAGTAACTCCTACAGCCACTTACAACCTTTCCTTTATATGTACCTCTCCTCTTCATTAAATTAGAATATTCAATCTACTTTAAATGTTACACTTACCATCCATAGACAAAGCAGCCCCCCCCACACACACACACAGTGCCTTCCGGTGGTGAACTTTTAATGAAATATTTAGACCTCAGCTCTGCCTCCCCTGTTTATCTCTCCCCCCACACCACACCTTGTCACATCAATCCTTTCTGCAGACCTTGTTCCCTTCCCAACAGCTGAAGTTCTTCAATAACGTCTTCTTAATGTTTTCCCATTTTGTATATCCCACGTAGTATATATCTCACATTTCTAAGGCCTGCTGGGATAAATGTGATGAGGTTTTCAGAAAGATATGTTCACTTACCATTTTCTTAAACTGCCACGTTGTGTTGTAGCAGCCGCTTGTGTGAACATGGGCTTTTAAGTAAACTCTCCAGGAATAACTCACTGAAGAAACAAAATAAGGATATAAAGAGTAGATGGCTTTTTTTTTTTTTTTTTTTAATTTTTTTTTTTTTTTTTTTTTTTTTGACAGGCAGAGTGGACAGTGAGAGAGAGAGACAGAGAGAGAAAGGTCTTCCTTTGCCGCTGGTTCACCCTCCAATGGCCGCCGCTGCAGCCGGCGCACCGCGCTGATCCTGGCAGGAGCCAGGAGCCAGGTGCTTTTCCTGGTCTCCCATGGGGTGCAGGGCCCAAGCACCTGGGCCATCCTCCACTGCACTCCCTGGCCATAGCAGAGAGCTGGCCTGGAAGAGGGGCAACCGGGACAGAATCCGGCGCCCCAACCGGGACTAGAACCCGGTGTGCCGGCGCCGCAAGGTGGAGGATTAGCCTATTGAGCCACGGCGCCGGCTCGTAGATGGCTTTTATGCATATGTATTTCCTGATAGCTAGTTGGGGCCAGTAATTATAATTGTTCGTGAGCTTTTTTTCTCTCAGGGAATATGTGTGTGTTTGTGCCAGATATGACTGAAATCACCATCAGGAATGTCTGCAGTCATACCCTGTTTCATGGTTTGGGGCTCAGTTTGATTCCCGACATTACTTTTTCAAATCTGTATTTCCCTGGAGCAAACACAGTGGTCAGACATGAAATCTGAAAATCAGGTGCCAGGTCAGAAGTTTACTGAGGTTCAAGGCAAGGAACAGCAAAGGCATTCACACGGAGATACCAGAGAGGGGAGCAGGCGGTGGAATAGAAGCGACTCACCTGGGTGTTGTGAGCTGCAGTCTGTGGGGAGCTAGGAGAGAATTGGAAGAGCTATGTGAACATTGTCATTTGCAGAGAAGCGCCATGGAAGAAGCAGATAAGCAATTCTGTTCTGAAAAGGCACAAAACACTGCAAAGTGGGGGGAAATGATCATGAATAGCTTATCTACCATTTACTGAGAACTTAACTTAGACTATGCATTATCCTAAGTGTTCATTACCTCATTTAAATATATTTAAATAGGAAGGATATATTAAATAGGAAGGATGACCTGTTCATCAGAGCAAAACAAAAAATCAAAAGAGAATTCTGGGAGAAATATGTATTGCACCATAAATTAAAGAAAAGCACTTCTAGCAGTAAAAAGTAAACCACTAGATAAACAGATGCCAATCTTTGGGCCAATTCTTTCATAGATATGCATATAGATGTGAGCTAAAAATTGTAAACACAGCATCAGCACTGAGCTAATCTCTTTTGGGGACCACAGGAAATCCACAATATAGTATCGTATAAGGAAACTGGGGTTTTGAGAATTTTAGTAAATTCTCTAGAATTATGTAGTGGAAAACCACAAAGCCAGAGTTTGAACCCAGAATGATGTTGTTTCCACTCAGGCCTTTAATTACCACAAGGTACCATCTCTTCTTTGCCTTGCCTTTCCCTTTTCCCTTTCCTTTTCCCAACAGGATACTCACTATTGAAGATAATTTTCCTTTCACCCTCATCAACAAATTTGACCTTATATCTAGCAGTTACCGTTAACAGAAGCCATGAAATTATTGCTCAATTATATTCATCAAGACAGAACTTCCTAAGCACTTCTCCTAAGGCATAATTTGACACTGTGTTAAACCCAGAATAAGCACACAACACTCTTATCAAACTCATCCACACGTCAGATCAGACCAGACTCTCTTGATGCCAAATGTTTAATGCAAAACCATATAGCTCAGTTTTGTGTCATCATATCAGCTTGCATTTCTTTAGCACTTGTCATCCCTGTGGATACAAAGCAAGTTAAAACCATGAACCAATATGCCTCTATATGTAGGTGTCTCCTCACCCCACCTCTAGGGACACAGTTTCACAGACTCTTGAAGAATTTTCTGATAGTTCTAAAAAATATAGAAGAAGAATTATGTTGTATATGCATTTAAAATGGGATAAATTTGAAGCTAGAGAATATTATAAATCTACAGAATTTCTTAATGACATTAAAAGGTTAAATGTAGTATTTGTCATTACATTCTAGATACAGGGAAAGATTTTTCTTTGAAAAGTAGCACTGGCATAACAGCTTCCCTAATTCTCTTTTCTGTATTTAAAAATCCAATTTTATTTGCTTAATAAATGTCACATCTCTCTGCTGTCCTGAATGCTATGTGTTCCTGCCAAACCATGACAATCATTCATCACCAGCATTCCTGTATTACAAGTGAAGAAACTGAGGCACTTGGACATTATATCTGCAGTGGGGATAGATTAATCTGGTAGTCAAATCCAGAGTTTGCATGCTTCATTACTTGGCTTTGCTACCTGCAATCCTGAGAGCTGGATATACTCCTACATGTTGCAATGATCCACTATTAGTGAGGTTGGAAGTTGTGTCATGACCTGCAATTTTACTCTCCATTAAAAAAAAATCCTTTGGATATTGCAAGGAGCTATGAGAGACTATTTTGGGAAAGAAACATAGAAAATAGCACTCAAAATGTCCACATAGCTCTGAAATGGGAAGGGAGCCTATATGGTGAGGATCCAGGTGGAAAGGAGAAACTAATAAATGAGACTGACAAGGTGTAGCCCACGAGCATGGGGACATCAGGACACTGAGAATCTAGAATCGTCAGATAGGAAAATGGTTCAAGGTGAAGTAGTCTACTGGCCTAGAAACGAATCCGGTGCATTTGGCAATATAAAGATTGCTATGACATTCATTATAGTAGTTCTGGTGCAATCTAAAGAGAAGCTAGATCAAACATGAGAAAAGTAGGTGTGTGAACAATTTTTTTCTAGAAGTTTGATTTGAAAGAATGTTAACTAAAATGATATGAGGACACAGTGTGGTTTCATTTTAGCTTTTTAAATTAAGATAAGAAATTCCAGAATGAACTACACCATGGAGACAGATTGATTATGTTTGAGAGAAAAGAAAGTCAAAGGAAAAATTCTTTAAAAAGTGAGAAAGAATATGATAAAAGGTCAGTAGCCTAACGAGAAGAAACTTACCAGATATTTTTAGGTAATTATTAGCATAAAGGGATTAGAACTCTGGCCCATACTTATTTCCTCAATCATAGTTCTTTGGGCACACCATTTGATAACAGCTTTCTGATCCCAACATTCCCCAACACTCAGGCAAAGAGAAGGAAGCAGTAATGGTTTCTTAACTAGATCTCTCAAATTAGATTTCACTAGTAAAACAAACATCTTTTCAAAGAATTCTCTGAAAATATGAATCTAATTAAGGGAAGAGATGGAATAGATGAGTTTAGAAGTAGTGTTTTTATTCCTGTATCTGCATGGTTTCATGATTGGGGTGAGCTTAGCCAAGTTTTACAATAGTAGCATACTTAGGCCTCTTGCTTGTTCTAATTTCCCAACACCTCAATCCCCCAAGAAGCTGGAAGCCTCAACTGTTTGGCATTGTTTTCTCCAGTCACGTCTCTGCATATATGGGACTTTCATTAGCTTGGTGCTGTCTTTGCCCAGCTTTTTTCTCCCACTTGTTCTTGAAATTAGGAGACCCCTACAGGGCAATGGAGAATGAGATGGCAGTACCTCATCTCATCCAGAACATGGATGAAGCATCAAGCATATAGGATCTTTCTGTTTTATTTTATCAACTATATTTTCATTCAACATTTATTTATTACAAATTGGAGGCCACAAACTAAGGTAGCAGAATTTACTCTAGATCATTAAGTTGTATTTTAATGAAAGTGCAAAAGAAGAACAAAAAGACTTTTTATTATTTAACGTTATCATAGTTTATTCAGTTACCCATTCAAATTAAATTTTTTTAATTTTTATTAATATAAAGCAAACAGATTTCATGTATTTCCAAGAAGATAACTAGATTTCTCTCTCCCTTCCTCAATCTCCCCTCCTCCTTTTCTTCTCTTTAAT